GTTCGTCCTCCGCGTCTGCGCAGTCGTTCCTCGCGTCGCATCGCAATCCACGGTCGAGACAAAGTCCGTCCGAACAGAAGAACTTTCCCGAAGTCTCGCACTGCTCTCTGTTCACTGCAAACACGCGTTACTATTGATGCCAAACGAAGCCCCGCCCCTCCACTCACCGCAGCCAATCTCGTCCGAGTGGTCCGCGCAGTGCGTGAAGCCATCGCACGCCTCCTTTCCTTTTATACAACGGCTTCCGTCGCGACACAAGAACTCTCCCGCCGGACACTCCCTTCCCGTCCCGCACCCGCTCTCGTCCCGCCCGTCCCCGCAGTCCCAAATCCCGTCGCAGAGCGCGCGCCGCGAAACGCACTGCACTTGCGTCGTGTCGTTTGCGGCGCCGCACCGGAAGTTGAGTCCGCAATCGCTTTCACTGCAGTTGTGTTCGTCGAAGGCGTCCACAAAACAGTCCACAAATCCGTCGCAAATGCGCTCTAAAGGCAGACAATGGCTTTCGTTTGGACACAAGAAGTGCGACGAAAGACAAGACTCTTCGGTCGTCGCGTTCTCTTTGGCCGTCGTCTCGACTGTCGTCGCGTTTTCCGCACTCAGAGTCCAGTTCTTTGCTGTTGTGTTGGATTCCAGAGGCGCTGTCGTCGTCTCCGTCGCCACTAATGTCTTAATTGTCGACACGTTCCCCAAAAACACTTCTTCCGAAGTCTCCGAAGAGTTCAACGAAAGCGGAAAAACCGTCGTTAGAGTCGACACATTTCCGGTCATCACTTCCTCCGAGGAATTGGTCCAAAGAGTGGTCGAAGGCGGAGGAAGAGCTGTCGTTGTCGTGTTTCCTGTCATTACTTCTTCAAAAGTTGTCGTTTCCGTCGCCTTCTTTTCCACTGAAGTCCCGATTGTCGACACATTTGCCACAAACACGTCTTCCGACGAAACATTGGTCGCGAAGAGCGGCTCTTCAGTCGTCCAAAGAGTTGTCGTTTCAGTGAAGACCTCTTTCGCAGAACTTTCAGTACTTTCTGTGGTTTTCAACACTTCTTGCGTTTCGTTCAGTGTTTCGAACGAACTCTGAGTTGTCGTCACTTCTGTCGCACGAGTGCTGACATCTGTCGTCCAATATGTCGTGTTTGGCGGCGCGGAGGCGGCGGTCGAGCCGTCGGTCACGCCCTCTGGCGACCACTCCTCACGCCGTGTGCTCTCATTGGCCGCCGCCTCGGAGACAGTGCTGACGTCAGGCGGACTCGCAGTCGGACTTTGAGTGACAGCTGTGACCGGCGTTCGGCTGTTCGGCGCACCGGAAGTGCCGCCCGAAGACACGTCGAGTGACCGCCCCTTTTGCGCACTTCGGAGCGGTTTGCGCGCACTTTGGCCGCCGTCTGAAGCGATAAAATCCGCGTAAAAGTGAGAGAGAAATACATGTCAAACGGATTTACTTTTAAAACGGATTTACTTTGAAATGCGGCCAAAAAGAGGACCGAAAGCAGAACTCCGACCAAAAATCCCGAACAAAAAAAACACGTTTTCGTCGACAGCGACGACAGACACGCGCTCTTCTCCCTCTTGGCGGGTCTGTCGGCGAAAAGACAGTGAAAGAGAGACTCCGATAGCGTGTGGACTCACGTTTGGGCGCTTTTGGCGGTCTTCGGGCGTCCGTTCGTCGCCTCCGTCGCCGTTCTGTCGCCCATATTGTCGGCGCGCGAGTGATTGCGACGCCGTTTGTGTCGCGAGACTCGGATTTCAGGCGAAACTCAAAACTGAATGCGTTTTGAATTACTTCTCGCTCTCAACAAACAAACGCTGTTTTCCTTCTCGCGATTCATTTGTTTCTCTCATTTCTCGCGCAAAACAATTGGCGTTTCGTTTGAAACTCGTTTTCATTGTAAGCGCGAACTCATTGTCATTGACCTCCACTTCTCTCGCGCTGACAATCGCTGAGAAAATCTTTTCGTTTTTTAATTGCTTTTTATTTTTATGCAAATAATATTCAAATAATTATTAATTTCTATTCAAAGCCTTCGAAAAGTATTGGAAATCGAGTTTCGCTGAACTGAAGGCCAAAACGAAAGCTTTTTTGAAAAGAAAAGTCTGTTTTCCTCAAAATCGCGACAAATATTTGGCATAACTTTCATTCAGTGACGCAATCTTTGGCTCTATTTTTGACTCTTTTTTCGCTATAAAAGCAAAACAGCGATCGCTCTCTCGCTCAACAATGTCTGTCGTCTGCTCTCAAGAATGGGCGCAGAGTTCGCGCCGACAGTGGACCGGAAGTGAGCCTCCGAAGAGCGGTGAACGGACTTCCGGTTGGGACGACTGGAACGCGCAAATGGCGGCCCTCTCCTCGCTCTACGACCCGCGCGCGCGGCCAGAAGTGGTCGCAGCCGTCGCCGAAGACCAAGAGCTCGTCTTTCGTCTCGATTTGTCGCTCTTTTCGTGCGAAGAGTTTTCGGTGAAAGTGAAGGACAGAGAAGTGGTCGTCGAGTGCGCGCACGAAGAGCGCAGAGACGGAGCGCACGGTTGGGTCGCGCGACAGTTCAGCCGCCGCTTCGCTCTTCCCGAAGACGCGGAGGGGGAGGGCGTGTCGGCCACTCTCGACAACGACGGCGTTCTCGCGGTTCGCGTCCCCCGAAGACGCGTCTCGAGACCGGAAGAGCCGAAAGTGGTGTTCATTCCCGTCAGCGAAGAGAAAAGCGAAGAGAAAAGCGAAGAGAAAAGCGAAGTCTGTATTGAAGTGAACGGCAATTAAAAAATTATTTATTTATTGACTGAAAATGCGTTCATTTTTTTCGCTTCAATTCAGATCATTATGTCTTTAAAAAGGTTTTCAAATAGAAATCAACGAATTTCTGGCATTTTTTCGCATAAAAAGTGCCAAAAGTTGAGTCATATATCGATTGGAAAACAGTTTTGATCGCAATTTCTGTCAAAAATAGGTTTTCCTGAAACCCTTTCACTCACTCTTCACTCTATTCTCGCCAATAGATGGCATTCAGAGCGCCATTGCGTCGAAAGCATGCTTTCGTGCTACTCGATCGTCGCTCACATATTCCGTGACGACATTCGCGTCACAACAGAGCCCTGCAATGCATTCACGCGACGCGCCCTTCGCCACAAGCGACACGTTGTGCGTGAATGAGTGCTCGCATTGCAAACACTCCTTATTTGTAAAGTAATTGCAATTCATTTGATTGAAAACAATAGACTTTGCGTTCATTGAGACCTAAATCGCGACCAAATGTCTGTTCAGTCCCTCCTTTCGGTGTCCGGGAGTCGAGTGTCGGGAAACTCCGTCCGCACCCAAAACGGTCAGTCCCTCCGAACACCTAACGGCCACTCCTAACACTCTCTCCCGCAGTGATGGCCGCGTCCGCCATCGCCAACGTCGTCAAGTCGTCGTTAGGACCGATCGGTTTGGATAAGATGCTCGTCGACGACATCGGAGTCCGTATTCGCGCCGTTATCGCTCTTTCCCGCACTAACACGCCTTTCCCTCCGCACAGGACGTGACGATCACGAACGACGGCGCGACCATTCTGTCGCTCCTGGAGGTGGAGCACCCGGCCGGCAAGATTCTCGTCGATTTGGCGCAACTCCAGGACCAGGAAGTGGGCGACGGAACCACTTCTGTCGTGAGTATTGTTGTCTCTCTCTCTCCACTCTTTGTCCGCAATTCCCGTCAACTTTAACTTCGCTTCCTTTGGAGCGGAGTCTATAAATCGGGAGAAAAACAGACTTTCGGCGGACGCGGATTCGCGCGCTCTCTGGCCCCGCCCACTGACGCCTCCCGTCCCGCCCACAGGTGATGATTGCGGCGGAACTGTTGCGCAATGCGGACGAATTGGTGCAGAACCGCATTCACCCGACTTCCGTCATTTCCGGCTATCGTCTCGCGTGCAAAGAGGCCGTCAAATACATCAACGAAAACCTCGTGATCGCCACCGAAACGCTCGGCAAAGATTGCGTCATTAACGCCGCGAAGACGTCGCTCTCGTCCAAACTCATCGGTTCCGACGCCGACTTCTTCGCCGCGATGGTCGTGGAGGCGGCGAACATAGTGCGCGTTCCCGACGGAAAGGGAGGCTTCAGTTTCCCGATTAAAGCGATTCGAGTGCTCAAAGCGAACGGAAAGTCGACGCGAGAGTCGCTTCTCGTCAACGGCTTTGCCCTCAACTGCGTGATCGCCACTCAAGGCATGTATTGTTTGTTGTTTTGTGTCCGCAATGATTACAAATTAAAGAGCGCATGACATCACTGATTGTCGCAATGTTATCCATGTAAATGAGCGGACAGTGCCTCCCAACGCCCCCTAACCACTAACCACGTGACTGTCTCCCACCTCAGGAATGCCGAAACAGGTGAAGGGCGCGAAGATCGCGTGTCTCGACTTCTCGCTGCAGAAGGCGAAGATGAAGCTCGGCGTACAGGTGCTCGTGACGGACCCCGAGAACCTGGAGGGCATTCGGCAACGCGAGAACGACATCATGAAGGAGCGCCTGCAGAAGATCATCGCCGCCGGCGCCAACGTCATCCTCACCACCGGATCTGTGGACGAGTTGTGTCAGAAGTACTGCGTGGAGGCGGGAGTGATGGCAGTGCGCAGATGCCGCCGCCTCGACCTCAAGCGCATCGCAAAGTCCACGGGCGCGCAACTCCTCCTCTCATTGGCCAATATGGACGGCGACGAGTCGTTCGACGCCTCGATGTTGGGCGACGCCGAGGAAGTGGTTCAACAGCGCGTTTGCGACGACGAACTCATTCTCGTCAAGGGGTAAGAGTCGCCATCTGTCGACAGGAGAGTTGTCTCACTCTCTCTCTCCCGCAGCACTCGGAACGGGAACTCGGCGTCCATTATCCTGCGCGGCGCCAACGAGTACTTCCTCGACGAAATGGAGCGCTCGCTCCACGACTCCCTCTGTGTCGTGAAACGCGTGCTCGAGAGCAAGAAAGTGGTGGCCGGCGGCGGCGCAGTGGAGGCCGCGCTGTCCGTCTACTTGGAGACATTCGCGACAACCATCGCGTCGCGCGAACAGCTGGCCATCGCGGAGTTCGCGCGCTCTCTGCTCGTCATTCCCAAGACTCTTGCGGTGAACGCGGCGAAGGACGCGACGGATCTCGTGGCCAAACTGCGCGCGTATCACAACTCCGCGCAACAGAAGGCCGAACACAAGCACTTGAAATACGTGGGACTGGATCTCGTGGAGGGCGTCGTCCGCGACAACCTGAAGGCCGGCGTTCTCGAGCCGTCCGTCTCGAAGATCAAGGCCTTGAAGTTCGCGACCGAAGCCGCCATAACTATCCTCCGAATCGACGACTTAATCAAACTTCAGGCGCAAAGAGATGACCACAACTACGGCGGCGGCGGTTGCTATGGCGACGATTGAATGTTTTCTTTTAACCCTTTCTTACAATAAACTGTATTTCATTGAAAACTTGTCGACCAATGAGACGCGTCTCAGACTCCGCCCCTTCGCTCGCTCTCCGCTCTGAACGCTCTCCACAATTGTCTGCATTCGGCAACAATGAGTCAGTTCGCGAGCATCTCATTGGCGGCCAATTCCGTGGTTCCGCCGCTCCTGAAGAAGGAACAGCTCCTCGTGACGCCTCTTCCGCCGCGCTATCGGCTCCGGGACCTCATTCTCGGCGACTACGCCTACGCCGACGACGGCGAGAGGTTTGTACTCTTTTGCAAGCTTTTAAGTCAACGAACTCTCGAATAGTCTTCGAGTTATTCTTCGAGTAGTTTTCGCCACAAATTCCTAACCAATGATTGGTTTTTCTCCACAAAAGAGCTCTTGTGTTGTCTTTTAAGGGTTTTATCGGATTTTCGTCTAATCTTCGCATTTATGACGAGAAAAAGGCGTTTCTTTTCATTGTTTTTGTCGACAATTATTGCCATTATTTTCAATCATTATTCAAATGATTTGCAAATTCATTAAATTCTCGGATTTCTCTCCAAACAAACCATTCGTTTGTAAAAATTCATTAACAAAAAGACAATTCTTTCCATCATTTTCTGCATAAAAATGCAAAGAAAGTCATTGAAAGACAAAACCAATAATTCCTAACATTCAAAATATAAGAAACTGTAAAAAAGAGTGGAAATTGAGTGCAAAAGCGATCGCAATGTCTTCGCAAAAGTGGGTCTCTTCGGTCTCCGCGGCCCTCCTCCTCCTCTGCGCACTCCTCCTCACGACTGTCCTCCTGCGCCCTCTCCTCTCGCCCCTCGTGGCCGCCACTCTCGCCCACCAACGCCTCCTGAACGCCGTCAATGTGGTGGTGTTCGCTGTGGCCGTCTTCGGCCACCTCTGGTCCTCTGGCCACCAATGGCTGCAACACTGGTCTCTGCGCACGTGTTCGGCGCTCTTCCTGTGGCTCGTCGTGTGTCTCGCGCTCGCAGTCTTGCAACGATTCCCGCAACTCATCGCAGCCTTCCTATTGGTCGCCATTCAAGGCATCACTTTCGCGCTCAACAATACTCTAAGCATTTAATTCAATGAATAAATAGAAATGAAGACAACTTTCGGTCATTTATTTCGCGCGCAAAACAAGGCTTTCATTGAACCGAAAGCCGATAACAATAAGTCTAATAACGCGCTAATAATGCGATCGGAAAACAAACAAAAAGCGGACAAACAAATGGTGTTTCGCGCCAACAATGCCATCAATTCGCGCGAAATTAATACCATTTGTGACGAAATTATCGGAAGTTTTGTCACAAAAATCGATCGAAAAATGAATTATTTTTTTATTCTTTTTGTCGATTAATCTCTTCTCGCGAATAACAATATTTTCATTATTGTTAGAAAATTCTTGTTTCCTTTCAGTCATTAATCGAAAGGTTTTCATAGAAATCACGAATAATTGTCTCAAAAAGACTCGAAAACCCGAAACCTGTTTAAACATAACCGCAAACGACAGACCGCTCGCGAGCGAGAGTCGACTGTATTCGTGAACTGTAGGCGCTATCAGTTTTTTCATATTCAATATTACTATCGGTTTTATAGCAGATTGTTATTTGCATTACATTCCCAGCGGAGAGCGCCGGCATGTTATGG